GTGTGCCATAGCCTGCTTGGAAGATGTCAGTAAGTTCTTAACTCGAGGAGGACAAGTAGCTGTAAGTTGAAGTTTGTGGTAAAATAATATTGGGAATTTTTGGAAATAGTCTTCAGCCTATTTTTACATCTACATGTATACATGCAAGAAGATACTAACAAGGCTGTTGCTAAGATTTCAGTTAAGTTGCTGATATAATATGGGATTTAGAGTTAAGGCAGGGAGTCACTTGAGTGGCTGAGAATGTAGGAATTTGGTTCTATTTTCCTTTTGTTTGCTTCATGTGTATGAAAGAAGGTCATGATCAGAGTAGCCAGGGACATTGTACATTGTACTTTTTGCAAGGCTTTAATACAATATAATTAATTTTGCTGTGGAATATTTCAAGAGCTTCAGGGAAATACAGTAGTGCCAGGTCAGTGCTGTCCCAAAGCTGACTGTGTCCATTTAAAAAGTAAAATATGAACAAAATGCCGTGGTTTTGATGGGTTTTTATGGCATTTTTGTTGATATTATTTTTTCTCTGTAATGAACGATATCTTTCTTGAATTACTTTTCAAGTCACATGTAGCTCAATAAAGTTTTTTCTGTCAACATTGAACCAAGGATAAAATAATAATCATTTTCATCAATAACCCAACATATCATACTTGTACTTTTACTTCTTCATGATCTGATTTTTATGTTTACACAATAAATTAATTGTGTTATTATCGTTATTATTCTTTTGTACAGATATTTGATGCCACAAACATAACAATGGAAAGAAGGGGGTTCATCTTGGAATTCTGTACAAACCGAGGATTCAAGGTACAATGTACTGGTACTATTAGCAGCATTACAGAATATTAGTTAATACTGAGAAACTAAGAAACACATCGGGGTCAAAATCACTTCATAATTATGAATTTGTTAGCAGCATGAATGAATTAAGTTCATGTGAAGTACAGGTTCTGAATCAATTTAAAATGGCTAATGGAATTTGGATTGGCTCAGCGGAGCCATGAATAACAGCTGTTGATTGCCATTGATTCAGGATTTAATATAAGGGTTTACTAGAGTTAACTGAAATTTGGAATTTCCTTGCACCACTCTTGAGCAGGGGTGGGGGGATGGGGGTGGGTCTGGAATGATACAATGCATAAATTTTTTGTAATGTATTAGACTGTAATTGGCATTTTGACCCTTTTGAATTAAGTTCGCCTGGAATAAAGATTGGCATCTGAAACAATTCAGCCAGCCTAAATTAATTTAGTTTGACCTCAATTCAAATAATTTTGATTTGGCTTATTGTGAAGTGCAGCATTGGAACCGGGTTTCATGATGACTTTTTAAGCTTCTGGCGTAAAATAGACTGTGAGATCGAGCAGTCTCCTATTTTTCTTTTGAGTCACAGTAGATCAAGAGGGTGCTTGAGTTGTGAGCGAAAGTCCAAAGCTGTAAGGAATATGAGAGTGAAAGCTGTGTGAAAGCCCGAGCTAAGAAAAAATAAGTTGTCCTTTTTCCTGTGTGCATAATTTTACTTTTTCTTTTGCCATATATGGCTCTGAGGAATGAAGAACAACCATTCGTGGTTACATTTACCTTTAATAGTGACCCAAATGATTCCTTATCTCAGTTTGTTTTTTCTTGGCAACTAGATAGGAAAAAGTTGTCCTCAGAGAACCTTCAATTGTTCAAATATTGTTACTGTACAAGTACATATAAATTTGGCGCTGTCGTGTGAGAAACCACGACCAAAAATGACAACTTTTAAATCTTTTACTGTACTTTTTTTATACTAGTAAGTACTGCTAGTACTTATATTCTGTTTGTCAAAGTATTTTGTTCAATTAATATTTTAATATACCTTTTGTGAAGTTTGTGAAGGTTAATTATTGTTGGCTATGTTGTTATCACGAAGACATTTTGCAAATTCTCTGAAAACTGGAATTCTTCCTTTAGGTGTTTTTTATGGAATCTATGTGCACTGATGCAGATATTGTGGCTGCCAACATCAAGGTACACTGTAACATCTGTTCATTTGTACTTAAAAAAACCTGAGATCAGGCTCAATTTAAGCAGCTCCTGCACTCTGAGCAGTCCTACAAATATAATTTTTTTGGTCAATCAAATCAAATCAGAAAAGTTGGTGGACACATTATGTGGCTTTTTTATTACTTTAATTGCAGCAAATTTTCATCTAATAAAATAAAAGTCTTAAGTATTTGATTTGTCATTAGTCGTCATGTCTGACTGCAGGTGGGTTTCAACAGACATACATTTAGACCAATTTTAGAAGGACATTGTCCGATGACTGACGGCTATTTGCTGCTCTGCCTCGTCAACACTCTCTTTCGAGGTCTTGCCTGCTGAAATTTCATTTAAAATCAAGCCAGACGAAAATAGAGCCTCATCTCAGTTTAAATCTGTATAACTACATGTATGGCTTTAATGGTTGCAAGAATAATTATTGCAACGCAGTGTTGAAGGAAATCAAGATTAAAAATGAAAGAAAAGTTGATTGAAATATTGTTTTGTTGAGAGTTCAGTTATGAAAGAAGCACAAGAAGATATTTTTAAAACATTTAAATTAGCCCGTCTGGTACTGACCAGGGTACAGGCCTCTAAAAAATATTAAGGACTTTGATCAAGCATCCCTCACATTTTGCCTGTTTGGGGCACTTGCATGCTTGTGTTAGTCTACTTTTTAGTTACAATAGACTTGCCTGGGAGCAAGTGACTATGAAAAGCTACTTGCATGGAAGAATAATCTGCTTTTCCCATACACATTGTACTACTAGAAAGAATATTTTCGAGCCATGAGTGTAACTACAAAATAACCCATACATTACTGTACTTACCTTGTGTCACAGATGAGCTTGCAACTAAACTTGTTCAAACTTGAATGTATCTGAATGTCCACACTTAAAGATGAATATTTTTAATTTTGTGTTGTTTCTGATCTGTTGATCTATTTGATGTAACACACCATCATTAATCATTCATATTTCCTTTCTTCCTACTTTTGCTGCTTCCATGTTACCTTTCTCACTATTTGTTCATTGACGGTTGCACGTTACTCAACTCAATAAGAGTTTGCTAATTATTTTTGCCTTTAAAGTTGTCAATATTGACTTGCTTTATAATCTGATTTGAAATCTCAGGTAATGGGCCATGAATTTTTTACCAACGAAGAGCTTAAGTCATGGAAATCTTGGATGGACTCACCAGCATCCCCTCCTCTGTCCCCATCAGGAGTAAAGAAGTTCACCCCTGATTATGAAAACTTGGACAGAGACAAAGCCATTGAAGACTTCAGGGAACGCATAAAGCACTATGAAGATTCTTATGAACCACTGTCCATTGAGAAGGAAGGGTTAGTTGGGTTTACAGTCATCTCGCCATCAAACCACTTCGCCACCAAGAAGTCTCCTCGCCACCAACGAATAGTTTGCTTACATAGTATAAGTTATCTTACCCTGGGTACCAGAGGTTTTTCTCGCGTGCGGCGGGAATTTTCAGTGTTGGCCGAAGGCCGAAGCCACGAGCGGCGAAGCGGCGAAGCGCGGGTCACCATAAAGACTTGACAGAAACCGGAAACCGCGCTAGAAAAGTCTCTGGCACCCAGGGTATACTTATCTAGGATTTTTACTTTTTCGCCTATGCGAATTTGATGTCGAGCCAAATACAAATCTGTCGATCCTTTATTGATGATCCTTGTGTCGAACTTTATTCCAAATGCTGAAAATAGGTTCGGTTAATGTAAAGTTAGACATTTACCTTCCACACAATCACTAATTGGCAGAAAGGTACACAACCACCTGTTATTTCTTTGAAATATGATTAGGGAATGGCTTTAAAAAAATTTTTTTCAAGAAAGTTCTTCATTTGTTGTATAGTTAGGATTTCTTTAAGACAAGAAAGCTAAGTCCTTCTCTTGGTGGCGATTTCGTTGGTGGCGAGGTGACCGGATACAGAACTGTTACTTCTAAGCTAGCCTGCGATCAAGTCATCAATTTCGAGCGTTGAGCGATGTGACCCGGGAGGAAACACGCTAGCAAACGGCAAAGCTCTAGTCTTCTTTCACTTGGTGCTCGTGCGTGACTTCTCATGATATCCCCCGAATGCTCGAATTAAGCCTTCGTCGCAGACGTAATCTATACTAACCCCCGGTTAGTAACGTCTGCAAAGCAGCGCTCATATATCCTTGTTCTGGGTCCCCCAAGGGACTCACCAAATTACCGGAATTGCGTTTCGAGTTTCCCTTCAACCTGACTGGCAAATCGACAATGGCATTTTAAACAGTCCAATCATAGAGTACTGGAAGCCTGGTACACAGATGTGGGCCCAGAACAAGTATTTTTTCGGCACTGTTGATGAGACGGACTTAGCCAGAAGTTTAGTTCCGTCTGTGGCGCAGGCTAGCTCGCAGGTTAATTCAAAGTGGCCAACTCAAACTCTTTGGTGCAAGAGCTTATTCTTCAGTACCAGGCCATCAAAAGCAGTTACTGTGCTTCTTGTCCGAAAGACGTCAGTTTTGCTGTACAGCTTATAACGGACAAACTGTGAAAAGTGCACAGCTCTCTTTAAATGCAACTTATTGAGCTTTCGTAAGTAGAAACCGCAGCAAGTCAGTATTTTTTCCTTGATCGATCGCTTCGCGTCTCCTCATCAAACCTCCACTATGCACCTTCCCTTCGAGGGACAGTTCAATATTAACGACCAAAGTTAAAACTGTTTACTTTGTATTATTCTGAAGATGCTGTTTGTAAACAGTAAATAAATATAGTATCAAATTTAACACTAGGACTCTCTAATACTCACGTACAAGCCAATTAATTTTGTTCAGCTATGCCATGTTTTCTGTTAATTCCTGTGTTTTTGTTTTGTTACTTAACAGCAATCTTTCTTTTATCAAGATTATCAATGCTGGGGAGCAATTTCTTGTTAACAGCATTGACGGTATGGCTATACTACTTGACTTAAGAATACTGTATGTTTCAGCAGGGCTGTTTTTACCTCTTGGAATGGGCATATAGGTCCATTTTGTGCTGAAAAACGTTGTCTTGTTTTATGAGTCAGTACCGTAACAACTCGCGTTTAAGCCGCACTTTTTCCCTTAAGAATTTTACACTAAAAATCGAGGGTATGAATTATCTATGGAGACAGTAAAACCATGACCTTGAGAGGCGATTACCGAACATTGTTTTAAACCCTCTTATGGTAAATTTTCAACGATATTTTTCAACTCGTGAATTAAGGAGTGCCCGGAAACACGGGGTAAGTGGCTTGCTGTAGGATAAACTCATTTATTATTATACTAAAGCAGTGGATAGTGTTTTTCGCGAGCTCTGATTGGCTACTCTACCTCCGGATATCCAGTATTAGTAAACTAATCCAACTAGTGGTATATTATCAATGCTGCGTTCTGATTGGTTGAGCTACTACTAGGCTATATGTTATAGCCCACTAGTAGCGAAAAGCGTTGGCTTTGAAAACCAAAACAATGGCGGATTAATCGCGTTTTGCTAGCTAAAGTTGTTTTGTCTCGATATTTTTGACCAACTAGTTGGATTTTACTAATAGCAACAGTACTTAGTAGCTCGGAATATCTAAAATACTCTTTTCCCCAACTGTTGAAAAGTCCCTGATTAATGTTCAGGTATTGTTTTGTATTGAGAATTGAAATCTACTTTTGAGTTGACTAACTTTCATTCTTGTCTTTACTGCAGGTTATCTGCAGAGTAGAGCAGTGTACTTTTTGATGAACTCGCACAACAAGAAAAGATCAATATATCTTGCACGGGTATGTTGTGTGTGTGTTAAAATGATTACAATCGCTGTGGACTGTGTGGCGTTTGCAGTCATAAACTGAATCACTTTTGAATCCATTTAATTTAAGCATGGAGAGAGTGACTATAATGTGCAGAAAAGACTTGGTGGGAATTCAGATCTGACAGTTAGGGGAGAAGAGGTATGTATGTATTTTTACCCAGAGTAGATCGCTTACTTTCGTTTAACGACAATGATTACAGCGGCAACGAGTAGTCAAAACAACAGTAAGATTTCTTTGAGAGGTTAGTCGTTGACAAAGGAAACTTTCTCCTGGACATTTTAATGGTTATGGATAAATCTGATCAAGTTTTTCCATGTTACTGCACGACCACGACCCCGACCACGACCACGACGGATACAAGAGAGCCACGACGGCGAGGGCAACGAAAACACGTGCATCGCGCTTTTTTGTACATTTCTGTGCTGTCGTTGGACGACTTCGACAGGCAGCTTCCTAATCTCACGTTTCATGGAAGACGTTGGTCTCCTTCGCAGCCGCTCGGGCCGGAGTAACGCAGACTAGGAAAAACGTGAATTTAAGAAAACGATTCAACTCCCCCCAAAAATTTAAAGTTTGAACGAGATGGATATGAGTGACTAAGCTTGAAATATCGCGGATTCACTTTTTGAGTGACGTTTTCATCCACGTCGCTGTCGGAGTTATTTAAACTTCCTAGAAGAACGGAGAACGGAAAACTGGAAAATAATGCCGCTAACAAAACCTGAATAAAACTCTAACCCTATCAGTAACGGGTGACATGTAGTTACTTAGCACCAAGTTTTTCTCTGGATACTATTTAGCTTTACCATCGAGCTAGAGGAGCTGACTCATGGGAGCCAGACCCATTTAACTGGGTTCGTTTGACCAACGCGCCAACAGGTCTCCACTACAGCTAAGTGGGAGGGCTTTGTCGCCTCATACTTTCGACCCGCCCATTGGGAGAAATTAGATATCTCTTTTCTGAGTCACCTGAGTCACTACTGAAAAAAAAAGAAACATTCTTAGTAATTTGGATAATGTTTTATGCTATTATCATCGAAGCACGGACCTGCACGGAGACGAATTGGTTGCAATTGCTGACTGTATTCTCTGTCTTTCTGTAGTTTTCGTTTGCTTTGGCAAGATTTATTAAGGAGGAAAAAATTAAGGATTTAAAGGTAAGAAAAGAAAGTCCCAATAACGTCTCTTATATATTGGCCACTTTCACACTGCCAATAATTCACCTTGACCCCCCACCGACCAAACCAATACATTTTGCGTACTCATTGTTTACTCTCTCTCTACTGGGTGTTGAAAACATTGCTTATGCACTGTAATTTTCAGGGAGTTATAATAACTCCTCTAGTGGGGCTAGTTTAACTCCTTACAGTGGAGTTATTTTTCATAGAGTTATTTTAACTCCAAAAAGGAGTTTAAAGAACTCTTTTTCAGGAGTAAAAGTGACCCCAGATATTGACGAGTTAAAATAACCCCAAAAAAGGAGTTATCCTGTACCTAAAATTTTTACTCCACTTTCAGAGTTAAATTAACTCCAAAAAGAGTAAAAACAACCCATGTAAGGAGTACGAGTAACCCCATTTCGGAGTAATTTTAACTCCAGACTAGGAGTAAAAAGGACTCTTTTTCAGGAGTAAAAATGACCCCAAATTCGGAGTTAAATTAGGAGTTAAAATAACCCCAAAAATGGGGTTATCCTGTACCTAAAATTTTTACTCCATTTTTGGAGTTATAACAACTCCCTAAAAATTACGGTGTGCGAAATTTTTGTGGAGAAAAATTAGCAATTATTGAATGCCGGTGAGTAGGATGTGAACAATTATGCAGATCGAGGAGGATGTTATCATCCACCAAGGCTGAAGGCCAAGGTGGATAACATCCCTCGATATCTGCATAATTCTTCACATCATTTGAAAGTCGAATTTAATAATTGCTTTATTATTCATTCAAGAGTTATCAACAAGCTTACAGACTGTACCTCCTCGCAGACTTTTTTCAACACATTGGTTTATTTCTCGACGGGGTATCAGGATATAAACAGATGTTTTTTCTTGCAAACACTTATGAGGAAGTTGATCACATTCATTGATTAAAATGCTTTGCGTATTTTTGCATTTCTTCCGTTCAGTTATGAAGAAATGGCAAGGGGAATGAAGCCAATTAGAAACGGCGAAATATTTTGAATGAATAATTAAGTGTATTCTGTGTAATCTGAAAGTGGCGGCTGATAATACGGAAAACAGAAGTAGTTCATTTGACAATTAGACACTGAGATATCTAATATACAGATATCAAAATTCTTACTTTGTATTTATATGACAGAAATTCAATTGCCATTCATTTCAAACCACGTCTGTACGCCGGCTTGGAAATTTAGAACTGCTACAAAGAGCTACTCCATATTCTGTTCAGCCAAACTGTAACTTCACTGATATTCTGAGCTGTTTTTTCTTTTTTATTGCCGCAAACTGTTGGCACTGATGTTGGGGACAGAGTTCGTTACTTGATTACCAAGGTAATCGTGTATTTGGCAGCCTAAGGGTGATTTTATTGGTCGATTTTATTGAGTACTAATTTGGCATTTGGTAGAGCACGAACAGGCTGGGCTGTAAAATGCTCATCTGCTTTGTCCGTCGCATATTGAAACAAATCAGAACACATCACCGGGTGTTTGACGAAATATCCCCCTTGCTCTAATCGAAGGATGTGTGGATTCTAGAGCATCCTTAACCAATTATGAATATAAGGGGTACCCAATGACTCAATCAGCTGAAGTGAGGTAAGAATCACGTGACTTGATCTCACCAGTTAGCACCCTGCTATCAGCAAAGCCTATCGTTCGCTCTGTCTTTTGGCGTACTTAAGAAAGACTCTGGTTGAATCGAGTAAGATCATTGTTGGGCATGCGCTGAGTGATGTTGGGATACAGTTTCGTTAGGTAACCTGTTAGTAGTCGTGCCTGTTTTTGAACCCCCGCCTGATATGTACAGCTGTATGGCTCTGAAATGAGGCGCCTTACCAAGTGTTATATCTATGTAAAGAGGTCAAGATGTATGTATTTTTTAGGTTTGGACAAGTCAGTTAAAGAGAGCAGTAGATACTGCACAGTTCCTTGAGGGGGTGACAGTTGAGAGATGGAAAGCACTCAATGAAATGGATCATGTAAGTTACAATTGATATAGATTAACCTCTTCACCCCTAAATCAAATTATTGCGAGGAGATTGTTTATCGCTCTAACTGTCACGAGGATGTTTAGGTCAATTTTGTGCTGTAGTCATTACTTACAAAGTGCTTCTGTAAAGTTATGAAGAAAATATCATAATAAATTTCACCAGGGAGCTCTTATTTTTGGTGGTTTTTGCAGGCGTAGCATTAGAACTTTTTAAACATACTTCTTGTCATAATTATGATTGTGCCGAACCAGAAGCATATAACCCCGAATCGGGGTTATATGCTTCTGGCCGAACAAACTGAGTGCCCATTTTTGAGCTTCGTTTCAAAAGCATGTCGACGTGAAAGGCGCTCATATAATGATCGGCGTATAATTTCAGTTTTATAGTAATATCAACACTAGCCAAGCAAACAAGGTAAAAAGTGATCTGATTCGCCAGTCATGATAAGGAATTTAGCTCTGAAGCCTAGTGATTACTTACAAATTTTGGGACAGTGGTTGCGGCATTTTCGTTGAGACGTTTTGTAATAAATGGAAGCTACTCAGTTTGTAATTAGGGCTGTAGCATTTTACAGCTACAATGTATTTTCTATCTTCACAGTTTGCAACACTATAGTGTACTTCAAGTTTCCAGTCTAGTACATGTACTAGGAGTTCCGCGACGAGAAAACAAAGAGCCTATCGCCGGATACATTTTTGTCAAGTCTTATTTGGTTATATTCTTTTGCGTTCCATCAGGGCATCTACGATGGAATGACACTGGACGAAATAAAGCAAATGGATCCCGAGGAACACAAGGTTTTAGAGGAACACCCCTTTAACTACAGATATCCCAGAGGAGAGGTAATATAGTCTAAAAAGAACGCAGTCTACTGTAAAGTTTCTTTAAAAATCTCTTCGAAAGACCCGGTACACTGTAATCTACTTACTACAATTGTCCCCTCCTTATATCATTCAGCAAAAAGTCGTGCTCATTTTAAGCAGCGTATTTTAAACTGACTTCGACCTTGTCTGGCTTTTTCAGTCTATTTGGGCGTTTGTGACGCGATGAGCTGTGCCCAGATGTGATTGTATTAGTTAATTTTCTTGATTCCTCAATATTTAGTGCATTGTTATTCTTTCTTTTTTAATATCATTAATTATCAAATAAGATTTAATGCATTGAACTATATATAGCATCATATTTACTCTTTCTTTTCAGTCTTACAGCGATGTTTGTGCTCGTCTAGAACCAATCATTATGGTGAGTAACTTAGTTTAGTAACACTTTACATGGATTTGTTATATAGAGTCATTCTAAGAGCACTACTTTTCTAGGAGACTGTTCGTTCATGAACATCTTGCAAAATAATGATTGGAATTTTTTTGATCTCTGTGAAGCTTACAATCTTGTGTAAGGCAAAGCACGTAAGTATTTTTGATGACCATTCTACTAACTGGACTTAAGAAAAACAATAAAAAAATAAGCTAAAAGTTGTGTTGATTCCCAGCTCATTAAGCGAAATTCGTTTTGTTTCAAGGAATTGGAAAGACAATCTAACGTGTTGGTCATTTGTCACGAGGTAAGTGTGTACCTTGAATGACTGTTGTTGTAAATAACTTGTAAAAGTTTTATTAAATTGACCCCTGGCCAGACCAACAATAGGGTCCTTATTAACAACTTGGGAGAACATGCTACCTTTGTAATGTCGTCTGCAAACGGTTCAACTTTCTAGTCTTATCGGATAAGGACGATTGTAGGTCGCGTCTCACAAGCCCCGTCTCATTTAATATCTGTGGGACATTAATGAACCCACTCACTGTTCGCAAAGACCATCTCCACCAGCATTTGGTCTTTGTGGGTGCCAGAGGTCAGGCTATTTGCCTGGTACAGTGGAAGCCTTACTCACACTCACTCACAGTACGGATTACTTTGATTTTTTATTATTGACATTGTTGTTCAAAAATAGCGCAATGATTTTAATTTTTGCAGGCATTACCTCTTTTTGCAAAACCACTCCTACTGGTAAAATTAATAAAATAAATAAGTTATAAGTGTCTGGAAAACAGACATGTTATTTTTGAAAATGACGAACTGCTGTCTATTTTTGTTTTACCTCACTGCCTTATTTAATACTTGCACCGGGTTTTAAAACTCATTTCTTCCAAATTATATACTCCTCTGATATACGCACTCTTTTAATTGTAATTTGATCAGAGTAAATAAACTACTGTCTTCCTGCAGGCCATCTTACAATGCCTTATGGCTTATTTCCTGGATCACAGTTCAGGTGAGTCGAGAGAACTGAAACTGCTCTGTGACAATAGTCTGTATTTCAGTGTTTTGCTCTATCTTTTCACCCTTAGAAAGACATGTGAGTTACATGCCACAGTCACCCAAACATAGTCCTATCACATCTCTGCACAGGTGCACAGGCTAGGGTTGCTTTTCTTTTCTTTTGTTTTAGTTACTTTATTGTTTTGTCAGAACACCATTCTTATTATATGTAATATTTCAGTACTATAAGTCTAATCGGCTAGGTCCACAAACACCGTCTGAAAAGAATCTTGATTGTGTATTTCCCGAAAATATCCATACCCATTGTTCTTCAAAGTATTAAAAACAGCAATAGAGTTCATGTTCTTGGGCATAAATGTGTTTTAGTCCCTTTTATTTTCAGAGGTCATGTTATCCCTCGCCCGCGAATATTAACTCTATTGTTTTATTTTAAGTAAAATTAGTTTGACGCAAAAGGACCCAACGATGTGATTTGTAAATTTAGATGTTTAGGATGCTGAATACAGTCTAATTTGACTAAAAAGGTGTTTGCGGCTGGTCAAGTCCTTATGTGTGAGAAACACGTAACTAAAACTTAAGACAGCATGATTCTAAGTAAATTCACAAACAAAAAAAGACGGTCTTGATCATGCAGGTTGCGCAGTCGAAATCTACCACACAATTTCATGGCAATTGTCATAATCTTATTTATTTTTATCATTTTCCAAAATTCCGAACCTTCTAAAACGTTTTGAATATTTTTGTGAGTGTCGAACTGATTCCTTGCTTTGTTTCTCGTTTGTTAGCGGGAAGAAAATGAAAGGAAATAGAATTTAATGACTCTTTTACTGCCGTTTTTCTCTCGATTTCAGGAGAGCTTCCTAATCTACGTATTCCATTTCACACGGTGTTCAAGCTTACACCTATTGCTTATGGTAAGTATGTTACTCATGGTGGTTTTGTCTGTCCGGCATGGTGCAAAGAGCGAAACGCGCGCAAGCGAAGTACAACCGCGCTTCCTCAAAATCCTGCTGTTTTGTTCTCTTGAGGGTGGCTTCTATTTTTAGGGTTACAGAATTTTGATATGACCCAGCTGGTTGATAACTTATGATATCATGGTTGTCCAATTGCTCCTTACTTTTGGGTCGAAATTTCAGCGTTATAATTTGTATTTCACTTGTGTAATTACAAAATTGCTGTGGCAACGTTCCGTATGTCTCAGTGCCAAGATGGCGTCAAGCTTTTAAAATGTTGTGACTCAAGATGTCAGGGTATTGAAAGACACTTTAGAAAAACACACGAAAGAGCACATCAAGATGGATTCTAACAGGCATTTTGTCGGAAAATTCAGAAAATCAAGAACTTAAGCCGAAATTTATGCTTTAACTTTTCAGTGCGTGGAGTCCTCAATACGATAAGCAACCACTGAAATACACGATTGCGAGCGTATTTTTTCACCCATGACATTAATAAAAGGCTCGGGAAATTATTAGAATTTGGGCAAAAGGCAAGTGAATTTAGTCCCTAATTTCACGAGTTTAACAGTTGGTTATACATACAACTATTATGACAAATCCGAGGGGAAATCTATTTTTTTCGCTTGCAAGTTACCTGGCGAGGAGTTTGCATTATTATCCGAGTCTAAGTGAACTGGGTCCCACTGTAGTCTTTCTCAAGTTCTTTTTAGTTAGTGAGATTGTTTGTTTCTCATGTTGTTTTGTACGATGCTATGCACTCATTCTACCTTTTTGTTCATATTTTCAGGCTGTAGAGTGGAAAGGTACCCGCTGTTTGTGAAAAAGAACTCGCCTGGTTCAATTTCAGAGCATTAAGTGAGTAGACTCTAGAAGTCATTGTCGCTTTTTACGTTTTCAAGAATGAGCTGGAGTGCGAAATTGTTTTGTTTTGCAACAGGACGTGCACTAGAGGTTTCTGGGGGGGAGGCGTGGGTTGAAAAAAGGTACGGAGAGGATGGAATTACGTACTTACTAAAGGGTGGGGCTAAACAGACGGGGCACGGTATACAGCTGTTTCGAGAAAGGTTGTCGGAAAAAGGGCACGCGACAATCCCGAAAGATATTGTGGGTGGTTTTGTCTGCCCTGTTCTCCAAAGAAATTTGAAAGAATGGCACGAGAGGCCACGGACATATGTTCGCAAGTGCAAGTGGAAAGCAACAAGAGTAGGTTCAACAGCTACAGTCGTTAGAAACAGTGTATTGATCATATCCCTTAATACCTTTTGGGGTTGTCGTGTGCACATTTTTTCCGACAACCGTTCTCGAAATAGCTGTATATTAATGATGGAGTTTGAGCAAGTGGCAAAGTTTGTTGTGCTTCACCTTGTTACTAATAATTGTTGTTTCATTCTTAGGGTTCTTATTACTCGAGGGAGAAAATAAAGAAGATATGACTATGTCACTGTGGGAAGCACTAAACTCATGAAGAGGACAAACACACGCAAGTTAAAGATGTTACACCTCTTGTAAATTATATTTAGTCGAGTTCACGCTAACACTAACGAACGCAAGTAATTAAGGTTAGGGATTTACAATTTTTCGCTGATTTAGAATTATACGTTGGTAGACGAAAAAACCCGCGACGAAAAACCTGCCTTTTTTCTAAGTTAATAGCCTAAACGGGTTCGAATATAAATGGTAATGAGCACAAATTTAGCCTATTTAGGTTCTTAAATATGTTCTTATTTTCTGAAGAAAAGAATACATTGAAGCTAAGAGTATTCATTGGTATATTCAGCTTATTCCTGATATAAAATCTGCATACCATTACATTGCAGTTGGAGTGATAAGACATATATAGACTATATCTCCAAAGAGGTTTCTGAATGTTTGACTTATCTTATTTGCCCAAGTGTACATAATTTTTTTTACGTGTTTAGAAAATAAGAACCTGTTTCAAATTTTAAACAAGTTCTTTTATAGAGGCGGGGGCGTACCTGGCAAATTTAACCTAACAGGTTCTTAGTCGCGGGATTTTACTGTAGACTTAATGTCAGGCCCCGAGAAAAACAGCTTGTTTTGAATTCCCGAGGGTTCTGATCCGAATGTCCCGTAAATAATTTCCTAGACTTTCACTTCCACATCGAGAAAGATTAAAGAAAGAATCAAGACAATCTTGGTACTTATAATAAAAACTTTATAAGAACACAAATATACTGTAAACTGTCGTTTATAATCCTCCCAATTATAGGCCCATCTACCCGTAAACAAAGAAGGACATCCGATTAAGGGCCCCCTCTAGCTTGAACTGAAATGAATTCGATTTTATGATGACGTTTTGAAGCTTAATTACAAACCAGTATGCAAAACGTATTTTGACTAGCATTGCTTTGGCTTATCTCGAATCGCTTTGTTTATTTCTGTTATAAACCTCTCTGTTTTTTAGCCTAAGGCTCCATGTTTATGCTGTTATGTTCATTCACAGAGCACGAGAATAAAAAGTGGCGGTGTTTTTCCCGCCTTCTTTCACGCCTTGATCACATGCTGTGGTATCCCGAGCGCAGGGTGCAAAGAAAATCGGTTTTACATCTTGCCATTCGAGCAAGCTGTTTGTAGCATGTACTAAGCCCAAAAGCTATGTTAACTAACCTGTTAAAAAAAAAATGACGAAGAGGATTGATTACAGTTCCTCTACAATTTGAATCCCCTAAAAGAACTTCACTTGCCTATCGGGCAAGTTAAGAACAAAATTCACTAGCCCGGTAGTAAAGTCCACTAGCCCCGGGCTATCGGACACTACTTTCTTTGCACTCTGCGAGCGGGGTACAAAGACTTGGATTTAGTCAAATCCACGTGATCAAGAATCAACCAAAAGTAATCCCTATTTAGTTGATTGAAAGTCTATGAATACAGTGTATAACAATACTTACTTACCTCGGGACGTGGCATAAGTTGCATTAAGTGTATAATATACCTTTAAGTTATATTTAGTCGAGCTCAAGCTAATGTGAAAGCCTTTAACATTGTCCACCCATTTGGAATTGTCCATTATGGAACGTTATTTAGCTTTGGAGAATAATTCTCTTAGGAGATGGTCATACTTTACCGAATAGTTTTTCCTGCCGACACGAAAGGCTTTCCGCTAAAGTATGAACACCTTTCCAGGGGCACCCAACGACCAGAAGTATACAGAATACACCAGAAGTGTCTCAGATGGTTTTCTCTATACTTTAGAAGCCTGTTTGGTTAATGTGGAGTTGTCTTTAAAAAACTATTTATCTGTTCGGATGTCTTAGGGGAACTTTGGTCGTCACGAAAGTTTTAGTTGGCTTTTTCTTCTCATCCGAACGTGTGAGCTATCCTTATGGGTCTGGTCGAAAGTTCGAGGACATGAAGTACGCTTTTTCTTTATACCGAAAGTTTTAGGAGACCTGTTGAAAAATAATCGCAATATCTCGGTGTTAAAATTTGATTAACTTAACCTCCAAAAATCGTAGTTATGCTCAGGCTATTAGAAAACCTGCGAATTCTTCGTTTTCACTGTCACGCAATAAACACGGCACACAAAAATACATCTGAAACCGTCCAGTGGAAGAAGCCAAGAAAATGAAATGTTATAAAAGACTAATATATAAACAATTTGTCCAAATCTCAGGTCTTTGTGGCCCACAGTTTCTGAGTTAGTTGCCGAAATATTTCACGCACCTTTGTAGAGCTTTGTATGGAGACGCCATACTGGTGGACAGAAACTGTCCACCAATATGGCCGCCGGAAATCAACAAAAACATCTGGAGTTCACTTTTTCTATAAAAGCTCTTCCTTTTCACTCGAGACCTAGCATACTTGCGCATAAACATATCTTCGAATACTTGAAATGGTTATACTGCTGAAAATCAAGCGGAGAGACTTTTTTTCAAGGAGATAGCATTCCTCTTTTGGTGTCACGCACTGTGAAAACTCGGAAGTTCAAACTGCTGTATTTTCGAAATGAAACATGCTTCGGTGCTGGAAACTTGTACAAAGATGTATTTCCTATTAATCTTCAACCTAGTGTAAATAAGAATTCGTAAAATCTCGCTTTTTTGACTTTGCAATCTGATGACGTCACCGTGAAAACCATCAATAGTTTAGACGAATGGAACGGTTATCCTGAAATTTTTAGCTTTTCTCAAGGTCTAGAAAAATTTCTAGGCAATATTTGCTCCTTCGAACAGTTATTTTACAGAAAAAATTCGCTGGGTGCCCCTGTCTTTCCGATATGTGACTCTCCACTTTGGAGATTAGCGCGGCGCAGCTTCTCTGTGTAACAGAAATGGCGCCGAAATCACCGTTCGTATGTGTGAACAGAGCCCTATCCGTTATGGCTTTCGTGCCGGTGCAAAGCTATCCGGGATTGACTGAAGATAGCCTTAGTCTGCGTAACCTCACTGAAGTTACAGCCTCACCAATATACATCCGGTGTGTGCCGGGTAATCGTTCATTTTTTAGAGATCAAAGGTGTAAATTTTATGTATGTTAACTATCTCTGGTTTATCTTCTTGTTCAAACGCTTAATGTAAGGTAATGGTATACATATAGTGTGTTATATCGAAATAAATAAATAGATAAAATGAAGGAAAGAAAAGTATTAAATCTTCGTTTCTTTTGTCGAGTGTTATTGAGCTTTTCTCATCCTGGTGTTGGGGAATTATAATGTTTCCAGTTTCTAGCTGGTATCGAGGCATTCTGGCCGCTATTTAGGATGTGAAATTCGGTACATTTGCCGCGTTTTCGATTCAGCAAGGTAAACGGTAATTGGGAAAATATGGAATGGAATGGAAATTAAATAAACCATTGTTTATTATGTTTGCAATCTACAGTCAACACTTGTTGTTATCATCTTTTCTATTTCATACCTTGTCTATTTTTCTTTCCTGTAAGTTCAATTGTGAGTGTGTTATGATGTTTTGCTAGCTGCTTACGTTTCTTTCCGGGAAGGAAAGGTGGAGTAATCACTTCAGTCATGCGAGCGGAGACGATGTTTATCGGGGGAAAACGGAGAAGAGGCCCCCTCCTCAAAAAATTCATACTAAACGACTCAGTAGAGCCTTATATAGAACTTTGCTGAAATTCTAATTCCAGTTTGGTTGGAAAATTTGCGATAAAGGAAACCTACTAAGACAAATCAGTCCTATCCGCTTGATTCTTAAGCCATTCAAAAAGCCTTGAAGCTCTCATTTCTGTTTCATCGTAATCAATCTCTGCTTCCTTCACACGCTTTCGCATGGCGTGGAGTCGGTTTCTTTTGGGAGGAATTTCGGATACACCTGTACAACGTCCTGCCATATTGGAAGCCAAACAATCAGATCTCGGGTGGCCTTCAAAGACGGCGTCGTTTTCTGGCTCAGTGATCCTTGGCAGCGGGTCTGTCGTCGTATTAGTGTGTTCTTGGTACAAAAATGACTCTAAATCTGCCAGGTTTTCCGTCGAAAGTGGAAGCGACAAACTTCTCCTGGCCTTTGATTTGGTTTTAATTTCTGGAAGTGCTGATTTCGAACCTAGAAATAGACAATCATCCCCTTCGCTCGCTCTTCTAAAATTGCGGGCCCATGAGTTCGGCTTTCCTGACACGGTCAGTTCTGGCTTGGATGCGGTGGTTTCCGGGCGATTTTTTTCGCCTCCTTTTAGGGTAGGAAATTTAGCTTTCCTGTACTGAACTTTCAAAGTATGAGATACCTCATCTGGGCAGACTTCCAATGGCTGGTAGCCCGACGCCGGCAGGGGATTGCAGAGCCGGTTTCTGTAGACTTCCTGTGCACATTTGACAGATGAACTGGCCCGCACAACCTGTATAGAATGTGGCATAGCTATTCCTGTTGTTTTCTCGAGGGAATTACTACTCATTCCCGTCAGGTCTGTAGTCAAAGAAGTTGAACGCGCTTTTTGCTTCTATATGGGCTATTACGTCGACGAATAATTGTTGATGCGGGTATTATGCAACACCCAAACCAAAACAAGCGGTTAAAAGTCTCCACAGCTGAAGAACCAACTTATACTTGCTATAGTAAGAGTTCAGTTATAGAAAGCCCTTAGGCCTAGTAGCTGTCAATCCTATTATTCAGTTGTTTTCTGTTAGACATATCTACGTAAACAGAACAGCTCCCACAATCTGGTAAATTTCCATTGTAAACGCGTACATGTGTGAAAAGTTCAGTATTTTGTGTTGATAAAGTTGTTTGACTTGTTTCAGTGCTTAGAGAAAACTCCAACATGCCGTAACCGTCATCCGGAATGCATGGTATGGAATGTGTCCCCTTGTTTTTAAAAGACAAAAGAACATTGAATCAATTTTACTTTTGGGTTGAATGCTACACTGCATATTATGAGCCACCACCTTACTGTAATATTACATTTAAAACGTACAGCAATAGTGAGATAGAAATTAATCTGTATTCCATCAGATGTGATTATTTAAATACACAATCTAGACGGATGTCATTAGCCTGGGGTGATCATACTTGCGTATAAACACTTATGTAGTCTATTTTATTTTTATTCCGGGAATAACGCGAGGGAGGTGGGGGGGGGAGGGGGCTCCTGCGGGGGTAGCTAATAAAGTTCTTTTACGAGGAGGCCTAGGCTCCGGCCAAAGTTGCACGATTTTTTTCCACTCATCCTGAGTTGCGGATGGATATAGACCAGATTTACACCTTTCTCTTCCAATTAAAAAATTCAGTATGGCAAAGATGAAAAAAGAAAAAAACAAAACTGGATATACTTTCTGTCAAAGTTGCGCTGAATGGAGATAAAGGCCGCTGCCAAACTAAGTTTTCGCCAAGGTACTTACAGCTCAGAGGAAGCTCTTGTAGGCGGACACCCTCGGCACGCGAAAAAGGTGTCCGTAACTGGAGTATACCTCGCGGAAAAGTGAAACAACAACAAAGGGGATCCCTTTTTAAGCGCTTCCGGTTACACACGGACTAGATCAGAGCATGCTTCAGCAGTTTGAACTCCACTCTTACAAATAATTTAATCAGACCACAACCTCCCCCGCCTCCTACACATCTTGTTGTGTCCCCATGGCGATATTTGGTAGAACACTGGGAACATTATAAAGCTCTAATTAACCGGTTAACTGATCACAGGAATAAACTTGGCCCGCTTTTAGTTGTAGTTAAAAAATAAAAAGACTGCATGTTAAAGCAGCTCTTGCCCTGAAGGCAGGTCAACTGTTACAAATTTCTACAGTTATCTTTCCAAATTCTCACGCAATGTTTATAATTATTAATACTTTCTTCTCTGACGAGTTATTCCTGGTAGTATAAATGGAAAATTTGTCAAGTTTTACCCCACAGACTTCACAAAACTGAAACGACTGTCTTGTTTTCGATTTAAGCTATCAAGAAAAGATTAATTTGTGAGGAAAAACACTCGGCTTGCTAATCAACTAGCGGCATTGTATGTCGCCTGCTCCAGGATCCAAGGTAGTAACATCGCGCACGTGTTATTTTCGCCTAGCTTGTTTTATTTTCTCGACGTCCCTACTATATCTGAGAACCTGGCACAGGCTTGTATGCTGTCTATCCACTGAAGTCTCAGCCTTTCTCTTCCTGTACCTTGTTGCCCCAGGTAAAACTCGCGATTGGAATTTTCGTTACATAAACTGCAGCCGAAAGCATGCATCAATTGTTGATTTAGTTTGCCCTCCTGGAATGGCCTCAATCAGGATACCGGTTTTCATAGCCATTTTACCATTCCTTAAACAAGGATTAAACGTCGACAATTAGTGAGCATTAACTGAATTCGTCGGTATTCTTTTGATTAAACCGTTGATTTTTGAGATAAGCGATCGGGATTGAGCACTGGTTTGAGAGAAAAAAATAGCTTATCAGATTATGATTTAAGCTTTTGTGTTTATTCCTCCTTTTTGTCCCAAATGAGTTCGCCTTAGAAATTGCAAACTGAAGGAATGCAGAATTTTAAGCATCTTAATCAGTTCCAAGTGTTATTAGCACTGTGAAAAAGCTAGCTCTTTTAGGAAATCACTTACGAATGTTGAAATTCAAACAAGCGAGTGATATGCTTACAAACATTTTTAGAGGACTATGAAAGTCCGTGGTAAGTTTACGACTTTAACCGAAGTAATACCTAGACAAAGATTTCAATGACTAGCCTAATTTTAATATCGGTAATAAGTTTGCACTTTCATTTAGTTGTCTATAGATGCCTATTTATAAAATCATTATGATCTTCATCACCAGCCAGCGATGATAGTTAAAGTTGTTTACACCTTCTTAGTGCGTTATAAAACCAATGACAAGTGAATTTGTCTCTGGCTCTCCCAATTCTAATCATATGTGCTGCAAGGCGGACTCAATTATCTCACATTTTAAGAGCTTGTCAAGTACAAATACCAACTGTTTCTTGTAATTACTACATAAGTCGCTTGAATTCATATTCAGGGTTTTTGTCGGACAGGTTTTGTGGACTCTTCTGCAAACCATTTTGTGATGAAGCTATAAGCCTTGTAATTAAATATTTAATTTTTTTAATTATTAGGTCCAGATAAATGAGTTGTTTCCCTCTGCCCAGCAGACCGTTCAAATGGGGTCAGAAAACGCCAGACAAGTAGTTTTATTTCGGTAAACAGTTGCTTCTGGATAAACGTAGCCGGTAAATCGAATAGGTAGGAGATGAATTTTGCCGAGAAAAGGCGCTCACTCACGAGCGAAAACGCGGATCTTACCACAAAGAAGAACGTATTTGAGGACCGACGGCTTCAGCGGAAACTTCAAGAGCTTGAAGAACTTTCTTTGAAACAACAAAGGAAGCGTCAAGAAGAACAACTAGACTTCGCCCTTGAGAATCTTTCTCTTGAGGACATGAGAAGGTCCAACGGTCTTACGAAAAAAATTCTCAGGTCGAATTTTCTTCCTCCTATCAATCGCAAAACAAGTGCAAGAGAGAGGACAAGAAGTGCTGCTGAGGTTCGCGGAAATGAACAGGACCTGCTTCTAGAAAGACTGCGCGGATCGAAGATAGCTCAGCGATATTTGAGCGACAAGGGCACACGGAAATTAACCAGGAGTTTATCTGCAGACGCAGGAATGATATGCGCACAGTCTGGATTATCACCCGGTGATCAACAAAACAAGTCAGGTCCTTATTCGGCTTTTGTTAAATTGCAAACCCATCGCCGGTTATCAGAGTCATATACCAAGACTCAAAAGCTTAGCTAGTGCTGCAACTGAGGTACCGTTTTTCAGACAAAGATCAATACAAGCTTAAATACATGTTCGGAGAATGAATTGCCCAAGTCGCACTTGATCGACGAAACCATCAAGGAAATAGTGAAGATGAAATGACCGTCATCAAGGAAGTTTATAGTCGTCTGCCAATTAGCTTTACCACTATTTTGACTATACGTTGATTCATTATATAGTATTGCATAGCTCACAGTGATTCACATCAAGTAATACCGCCACACTGAAATATCATCATCATTGTGGAACGGTATCAACCCTGAGCTCAGTACAAAACTGCAATCCATTCTCTGTCACTTATATGTGTTTGTATAATAGTTTACTAAAATTAAATGAGTAATACTAAGTGTTCGGACCAATCTATTTGGTTGTCATGTATTTAAGATCATTTATCAACGTTTATTAAACCGAATCATGATGAACACAACTAGAAAACAATACTGTAGGTCCATTGACTAGCTTTTAAGAAAGATATCATGCATCATGATGATGATAATGATGATGATGATGATCATCATCATCATCAACTGTTGTTAGTATAGTAAAGCCATCTTACACAATGTAATACGAACTTGAGTGACAATCATATCATTCCGTAGGGAGTTGCACTGCACTGTCCAGCGGTGTTCGTTTTTCAGTTTTCTTCTGCCATCGCTGTTCAACTGTTCAGTAAACTGTCAACGATTTGCGCACCTGCTGGCAGTTTGTTTTAGTCTTGTTTCAAGTGAGTTAAGTGCTTCTCAATAGAAATATCTTGCAAATGGTTTATGATTTTTGTCCCGTCGTTGGGAATATGTTCTATCCATATGACATATTTCAATTTTTAAGATGCCATCCTCTTAAATTGCTTGAGTTGCATCCTTCTTTTACTGTGTCTTGACTGCTCCTAATAAAAAATTTCTCGCCTAAAGGTTTCGCTGTCGGGGATTTTAATATTTGAAAGAATAGATCCTTTTAATCATTGGAAACTGGTTCCCTTAATTATAACCAGAAATCAACATTTATGTCGTATAGATACTAGTGTATTGCCTCTAATAATCAAAGCGTCCTCGGTCAAAGCTCGTGACATAACTGACAACCTCATACTTAACTTACGTGTCCGCCTGGTCAAAACCCATCTGCTTCAACTCCCGGAGTCTGAATTTATAGGAAAAGTTCCCGCAAGTTGTCATGGATGCTTTGAGGTCTTTTCTTTCTTAGTATCTTTTTATTCAATACATACTGTACGAATTGTGATATAGCATGTTAACAATATTAAGCGCGATGTGTACAAGCTCCCTTGCCAAGTGTCTAACTAAATTCCTCATGCTGCTCAGGTTACCACTTACGAGAGTCTTTTTCGTATATTACCAGCTACAGCTGCGGACATTTTTCTGCACTTCTGAGGGTGTACACTTTAAAGAACGGCTTTTACGTTAATACCTTTCAAGATTCAAATTATACTGAGGTTCCAGCTCAAGGCTCCTTATTACAATTATTAAAGAAAAGGTTGCACTCGCCAACTAATACGAGTCGCTTAAATTTTCTTAGCGAATAATGTTACTGTCGTGATCGAATCTTATACTAAAGGAGTCCACAAGCAGTTATGATAAAAAAATAAAAATGAAAGAAAAAACATTTAATATTATATAAGTTCCTCTATCATAAGGCGGTTTTGCAAGTTAAATAAAAATGAATTGAGGCGGACTGTTAACTGTACGTGTATCCTGTTCTTATATTTAGCTTTTTGTGTTGGCAGCAAGTTCTGATTAGTAATTCGCGGTATTTGTCTGCGTTGTAATTGGCCGGAGTAATTACTTTGTTTTGCAGGGTTACGACAACGAACGGGGGTCAATTGGAAACCGTGCCAATAATACAATAGATGCATAGTAGGGTATGACCAATTCTTTACAAACTACTCCAAAAAGCTGTCAAAGTGGTTCGAGACCCTTTCAAACATCCCTGTTCCACATTCCATGTAATATCCGGCGAGTTTATATTAACTGGATATTCTGCCAAGGTTAAGTTGGGAACATGTATAACAAGGGAATTTTAGATTATGCTTAACACTCCTAGCGACTTAGCGACTTCCTTGTTTGAAGACGAAGGACATAAACAATTGGCAGTGGGGGGGAGCAATATAGTTAATAACTAAAAAACTAATGAACAAAATTCAAACAAAAACATCCCTATTTTTAGCTATCTACTGAGGCACTAATGTTATAAAGGTTGCCTTGGACTTCATCCACAACTCTTCCAATGTTCTAATCCAGTTGCAATTGGCAAATGTCATTTTCTTCACCATCCGTTTGATAGCATGTTCACCATGCATTCCCTATTTTTTGGTAACACAAACAATATCGATTTTAGAACGTTATGTCTTAAGGGCATTTAGAAAAGAAAACAACGTAATAAACTGTAACCACAATTTTTTTTTAACAATCGGACTACAGGTACTAGTTTCCTTTGAGTCAAAAACCAAAATGGTTGACAAGGTTTCCATTATCATTTTTTTTTAATGAGTTCAAAACACCATCAGCTACTCTGTATCACTCAATAATAGGTAGTGAGAACATTAGCCACTGGCCGGAGTGATAACAGATTGTTCACAAAGAAAAAAATGGGGGAACAATAGGCTAAGTATAATAATATAGGGAAATTCTATTACATCACGAAGATAAGTTGACTTTAGTGAGAAGACTGCTTTGTAGGGAATGAGTAATCCCCAAGTATAAATCTAAGCTCTTTATTGTTTAGCGATTCTAAACTTCTGTGCATCGCGCGCCCCACAAAAATGCCAGAGATAAGAGTAAAAAAGTGGTAAAATGTACGCTTTGTAACGATTAAGAAGTATAAGTTTTCGAAAGCCTCAGCATAACAATGAAATTGATGATATTGATATTTTTGCACACATTAAATCAGTAGCTGCGATGCTAACTGTAAAAAACAAGACCAAGAAATGGACCTCCATTTTTCGCCAATCTCCCATTAAAGTGTAATGATATAGCCATTTCATACTTCTCTTGGTCCAGTAAGAACAATACTGTATAAATGCATTAGACTTCATTCTGCAGTGTTTAGTTAAGTTGTGTTGAAAATAATTATTACGTAAATGTTGGAAATATCTAGAAGGAAAAAAAGTATTTTTTCACTATTTTGTTCTTTTATTTTCAAGTTTATTAAATTGCAACGAACATTTCTGTCAAATCCTCTCTGGAGCATGACCAAGACTTTACGACGAATAATTTGAGCTCATTAATCGCTCAAAGTGGGGCATTAAACGAAGCAATTTATCTTGTCTTAAGTGGAATGAGAGTAAAACATAACAGGAAAAATTCGAAATTGATCGAGACGCTTCTTCCCATTGGTTGTGTTTACGTCTTTGTCTACAGACTAATTTTACTGGAATTAGTAGTTTAGTAAACAACTGTAAATTAACTGTTTGAAAACTAAGTCTCTACGTATGTATTTTAACATGAACAAATGTCATAGAAGCTCATAGACTAGGGGTCGGTGTGATCCTGGGCGAAACGTAATACGACACAACAGACAAGAATGCCTTATTAATTATGGATAAGTCAACTTATGTTAAATTGTCAATATCATAACCGGGTTAAAGTTCACGATCAACATATAAATCAACACCTAAACACCACAAGATACTAAAAGTTGGCTGAAACGAAGATTTTTGGTAAGCATATCGGCTTTCGAGAAAGGTGCGGATTGTTCTAGTTTTGATATTGCTGTAGTAATTTTTCGCTGATTTACTCACGTAGATATCGATATAGCAAGTAGAATCTCGGGATTATGTAAGCGATAATACCGCGCTGAACCCACCGATTCGCGTAGTCTTGGTTTCCCAAGGACTCTGCTATGTGCATATCTCACCCTCTCCCACTCTACTTCTCCGGCGTTATGACGTTCAGTATCGTAAGGTTTTCAGGTGAAGCTTCTTATAAGTTTCATTTTGGTGCATTTCATTCCTTCATGAGAGGAGGGGAGGAGGCCACTGTCTTCCCGACGTTTTATCGACCACAATGTTTCGTGGAAAGAGCAATTTTCACGAAACAATAGGCAACCCCAATAGGCAACTTAAGGGGTACCCCAGGGATCTGTCTTAGGTCTTGTTTGGTTTTTAATATAGTTATATTTTATTATGACCCTTCCCACACCACAAATACCCACACCAACAAAGGCACACACACATACAAAAAGCTGATGCTGCTGCGGAATGAACTATGTATATGGCACTAATTAAAGCTTCTTAGTCACACACTTAAAAGAGAGATAAAAAACAGTTTCAAATTCCCGTATAACGTACTCCACTGAGGCCCTGCTCGTAAAGTTTTCGACATGCTTTGGCCAGGCCCAACCTACTTTACGGAATATGAACGTTTTGTAGAAGCAAACGAAATTTACTCCTTTTTTCAACAGTACCTTTATTCACCTTATTCAATTTCAGGAAAGAGCGGGTGATGGGAAACGAAACACTTACGGGCAATTTGACCTGACATCATTTTCCAGCCGACGCTAAACTTTGATTTTTTTATGTCCAACTTTAAGATGGCTGAACAAGATTCTTTCACCTGTTTGAAGCAGTTAAGCTCTGGCTCTGATTGGCGATCCAGCGTAAGAAGGCTTTCCCGTACCCGTTCGTTGGGTGAAGAGTCACAATCTGCAAGCTTAGTTCTAGTGCGACCAAGAATTAGAAGCGGTTCTGAACCAATTAAAGTAAGGCATGATAGCTCCACCCATTCAGAAGAGATCACCTCCCTTCGACTCGGTAGAACTGGTTCTTTACAGGGTATGAGGGAAATTGAGAGGCATGGCTTGAGCTTTGATAAAGTTGGACTGGAGGAATGGAAGCTGCCCATTGTTTCTTCAAGACCTACGACTGCTGGAGCAAGTCAGTCATTCAGAAAAAGAAGTGATTCCAGTGTGAATTTACCCGACCTATTTAAAAATTCAGATAACCTGAAGCTACGTAAAAAGACAAGCTTAAAGGAGCGTCATGTTGAAGATGCTGAAACTACGTTTGACCTGGTGAAAAGTAAAGCTGAATACACAGCCACATGGTTGAGCGATCAGCAATTAAATTAAAACGCACAGAAAAAAACTCTTCAGTGCTTTATCTCTTTGTTTTAGTTTGTTTGTGATAAAAACACAATAGGTGACGAAGGATCGATCACTGGAAACGATACAAATAAAACTACACACTGACATCAGCTAGTATAGCTTTACTCTTGAAACTGAACTAAATGCTACAAGCAAAAAGCTTCTCCTGCCTACTAGTCGACACCAGACATGTCTTTGCCCTCACATTTCTCTTCCAACTGCGCGCCTTCATCTCGACAACAGTCTAGTAGAAAGTTTACTGAACTCCTGTAAGACCTCAGTCGCTAAGTTTTACGCATAAAAGGACTTTGCACCGCTCCGTTAATAAGGTACTATAACCTTATAAAGCCCACAAACCAGTTACACGGACGGAATTGTTCATTCTGTGTTCCCGCCATGCCTCAGTCGTAGTTCGCAGTTGACTGATGGAATGATGTTCCTTCCGCTACGCCATTTCCGTCGTAGATTTGTTGTCGATCTTGCGTAGCCGATTCTGTTTTAAATTATTTCCATATTTTTCCTGCTTCAGTCAGTCAAACTCCTTTCACTTTCATATTATTGACAACAATTCAAAGTTGGTAAATTCGGTTTTCAACATTCACTTACTTATATGTCAACCACATCATGAAGAGGTGCTGATTTTCTTTGAGCCCCTGATCATGCTCGGACAAAATGAGCCCAATCCAAAAATGCCGAAATGGTGCAATACTACCCCTAAAATATGGAATGAGCTAGTTTTTAAGGAACATGTAGAAATCACTCGACAAAAGTTTTTTTCTTAGGACGAACTTGATATTCCAAATATCGAGCGTCCTATTATAGCTACAGCTTAACTTGAGAAACTGTGTTTGAAAGGTGCATGTGACCTTAGGGCTTCTAGTAATGACGTGGCTGGTATACCTATTTTTTCCTTTTCAGTTGAATTTACGTTTTCCCACTTAATTGTTCGGGGTACTCTCTCTGTATTATGAAGACAGTTACGTTAGATGGAGCATAATGGAAGGTACTATAATAGCTCTGATGAAACAGATTTTGTCATGTTCACTAATAGGCCTAGCCTCACTGACTCAACGAACAATAGGGAGGTCTCTGTCGTAATTAACCAAGGCGCATGTAGAAGCATTAACAACGTTAGATAAAATGAAAAATTGGATTCAGGAGCGCTAACATTGCAGACGACAAGACACAGCTAGGCACACGACCAAATTCATGTAGCTATAAGTTATTCTCAGCTTCACTGTAAGAGCACTAAATGTGTGACACTGTCCATTTTGGCGAGGAAACAGAAGTGACGCCACGCGGTGTTCAGTTCCGTGTTAGAAAACGTATTTAAGTAGTGTTAAAGTATTCCGATTGTAGTGACGGTGGGGATTAGAAAAGGAGAACGAAACACTATCCAAACACCAGATCGAAACACTGCCAACACCTGCCACGCCTGTGACGAACTAAATCATTGCTAAGCACAATCAAGTTTTCTGCGTGAGAAGAAGCATCTTATTTGTTGCATCAGAACCTATCAATAATAGGCCATTTTTATGATGAACGCATTTTTACATACCTTTATTGTAACAATATCAATAAGATAGT